AGAGCCTGGCACAGCCGCCCCCTCCCCACAAACAGCAGCCGGGGGGAATCGGCACGGCCGGGATTTCTCCTGGGATCCAGCTCCGGGCAGGGAGGGAAGGAGCGGGGCCAGCCCCGATGGGAAGCCCCGAACGCGGCGTGGCCGTACCTTGGTCAGCGAAGACACGCACGATGTTCCCGGGGACATTGAACTCCTCCACCCTGCAGGAATCCAGCTCTTGGTGCGGCCGGGGCAGCTCCTTCCTCCTCTGGAAGATCCTCCAGAGCACGGGCGGCACCGGCCCCGGCCTTTTGGGGCTGGGCTTGGCGCTCAGACCCAGCGATTTTAACAGGGAATTTTCCTGCCAGCTCAGCCCGGTGGCCAGGACGGGGCTCAGGAGGGCCCAGGCGAGGCTCCGGAGCAGCCACATCGCCCCGGCACAAAGAGCAGCCCGGCCCGGGGGTGGCGATTCCCTGGTGGGAGCCTTTGATGGGCTCGGGGCTGGCTGAGCACCGCGGCATTCCCGGGATTGGGCGGAGGGTGGGATCCCTCCAGGCACCCTTTAACCCTTTCGGGAGCTGCTCCGTCTCTCCCGCTTCTCCACAGCGTCCGCTCGGGCTCCAGCGCACTCCGTGGATGGATGAGGATGGAAAATCCAGCGCTGCTCCCAAAAGTCCTGCCCGGAGCCGGAGCCGGCTCTTCCTTCCCCAAAAATCCCCTTTTTTAAACTCAATCAGGCGCCCAAAGCTTCTCTCTTAAAGCCACCAACCTCCAGCACATCAAACCATCAAAGTCCTGCTTCACACAGCCCCGAAAATTCCACCGGCCCCAAAAACCATCGGTCACAAAAACCTCCGGCCCCAAAACCTCCGGCCCCAAAACCTCCGGTCCCCGGCCCCCCAGTCCCTTCCAGGCCATCACAGCAGAGCTGCCGCCACCAACCGATGTCACCGATGTCACACCCCCGATAGCAGCTCAATGCCAGCCCTGGAAAATTCAATTTATCCTCCCCAGGAGGCTCCGCTCCGGCCCATCCCGGGGTCTCAGTTCCCTTCCTGCCCTGCAAATCCCACTGAAAACCGAGGAATTCCAGCCCTGGGATGCTCCCCTGACACCCTGAAGGTCACGGAGAGGGACAAGGGACAAGGGACAAGCTCGGGGACGCCCCGCTGGGGTCTGTCCCTGCCTCAGACACAGCAAGTCCGGAGGGGAATCGCCGTGACAGAACAAACATGGAAAAATCCCGCAAATTCCCATCTCCCACACCTGGAATTAACGCCCGGGATCCCCCTCCCTCCTCTGGCTGCTCGGGGAGGGAGCGGTGGGTCCCTGGGAGGGGACAGCGAGGGGACAGCGAGGGGACAGCGAGGGGACAGCGAGGGAACAGCGAGGGAACAGCGAAGGGACCCAAACCCTGCCCAGGACAGGGAGGCTGGGAAGCTGCAGGGCTGGAGCTGCCTGGAAACCCAAACCGGGGAGCAGGAATTCCCTGTTTTTCCTGGAAACCCAAACCGGGGAGCAGGAATTCCCTGTTTTTCCTGGAAACCTAAACCGGGGAGCAGAATTCTCTGTTCTTCCTTCAGCAAGGGGCCGGTCCTGGGGGAACCCCAGCAGGGACCTGCAGGATCCTTTCTGAGTCCCCCCAGGACCTGCACGGGGCTTTTCCCAGCCAGTGGAACCTCCTGGGCCTCCTCCAGGGATGGATTTCCAGGCGGAGCTGCCCGTGGGAGCTGCGGTGACAGCGACACCTCCGAGGGTCCCCCGTGCGGCCCCTGGGTGGCAGCGGGAGCAGGACAGGACCTTCCCCCGCCGGGATCGGGGCTGGAGCCGGCAGGAGCGGCTGGGAAGGGGCAGAGGGAGGCTCCGGGGGGAGTCACAGCGGGGCTGAGAACGTGGAGCAACACCGGGGGACACAAAGCCAGCCCCGAATCCCACCCGGGCCAGCAAAGCCGAAGTGGCCCCCAGGGAGCCCCCAGGGGACAGGGGACAGGGCACAGCCCGGCCCCGAGGGGTCCTGGCAGGGCTGGCAGGGGGTCAGGGGGTGAAGTTCTCCTTTGCAGGGTCCCAGGGCAGGGTCCTGGCAGTGACCACCGGCCACGCCGCCCTCACAACCTCTTGTCCTTCACGAGGCCGTTCTTGAGGTGCAGCCTGGGGAGAGCAGAGCCCGCGGTCAGCCCGGCTCGGCCACCCCGGCATTCCCAGCCTCACCTCCCCACCAGGATCCCACCGGGAAAAGCTCCAGGGAGAGCTCGGAGCCCCCGAGGGGCTCCAGGAGAGCCGGAGAGGGGCTGGGACGGGGGGGACAGGACACAGGGAATGGCTCCAGTGCCGGAGGGCAGGGCCGGATGGGGAATCGGGAATCGGGAATTGGGAATTCTTGGCTGGGAGGGTGGGGAAGGGCTGGGATGGAATTCCCAGAGCGGCTGTGGCCACCCCTGGACCCCTGGGATGGTGGGAAGAGTCCCAGGGGTGGAACTTTAGGGATTTCCAAGCCGGACAAGTTTGGAATTCCACTCGTGTCCACGTACCCTTCCTTCAGAGCCTGGGGCAGCGGGATCCCAGCCTCCTTCCCGGCTTTCCTGCTCTCCTCCACGTCGTACTCGCGGACATCGTTCACCTCCTGCATCTGCCCCAGCAGCACCTTGGCCACGAAGAGCACGATGTACTGCGGGACAGGCCAGCACAGACCCTCAGCCTGGGGGGAGCCTCCTCCTGCTGCCCCCACCCCATTTCGGGCAGGGCAGCTCCCCCCGGGATGGGCGCGGGGATGGGGTTCGGCACTTGGAGCAGAATTCCAGCCCCCGGGGTGATGGGATGGGAGCTGCCCGTGGGATCCGTCCTCTCCACCCCTCCCCAGGGGAACATTCCCGGGACGTTCACACCTCTCCCAGATTCCAGCTGCTGTTATCGCTCCCTCCCCGCGCATCGCCGGGGTGTCAGACACTCGGAATTCCAAAGGGAGCCCTTCCCTCCTCCCCCGAACGCCCCAAAACCTCCCGGTCCCTGCGATCCCGGGGACCCCAAGGACAGGGGACATTTTCCTGCCGTCCCCAGCCCCGGTTTGGGCAGGGCAGCTCCCCGAGGGGGGGTCCCGAGCCCGGGATCACCCACCAGGAACCAGTAGATGTTCATCAGGGTGAGCACGAGCAGCAGCGCGTTGAAGAAGAAGTAGAAGGGGATGTTGGGGACGGACTGGAGGCTGGAGTGGCAGGTGGCATAAAGAACCTTGAGAGGGAACCAGTAGAGACGGAACCAGAACCTGCAGGGACAGAGACAGAGGGGGTTCGGTGGGGACAGAGCCAGCACAGTTCATCCCTGCTCCCCAATCCCTGCTCCCAGAAAATCACAGGACAATGGGACACCCCAAAGCTTTGGTGCAGAGACAGAGTGGGGTGGGAAAACCTTTGGGAGTTTTTCCCAGTCCTGTGCACCCCGAATTTCTCACCAAAAACCTTCTCCCAAACTGAGGCTCATCCATCATCCATCCATCCATCATTCATCCATCCATCCATCCGTCATCCATCCATCATCCATCCATCATCCATCCATCATCCATCCATCATCCATCCATCATCCATCCATCATCCATCCATCCATCATCCATCCATCCATCCATCATCCGTCCATCCATCCATCCGTCCATCCATCATCCATCCATCCATCATCCATCATCCATCCATCACTCATCCATCATCCATCATCCATCCATCCATCAACCATCCATCCATCCATCCATCCATCCATCATCCATCATCCAACATCCATCCATCATCCATCATCCATCATCCATCCATCATCCATCATCCATCCATCCATCATCCATCATCCATCATCCATCATCCATCCATCATCCATCCATCCATCATCCATCCATCCATCATCCATCCATCCATCCATCATCCATCCATCCATCCATCATCCATCCATCATCCATCCATCCATCCATCCATCATCCATCCATCCATCATCCATCCATCCATCCATCCATCCATCCATCCATCCATCCATCCATCATCCATCCACCCCTTCACCTCTTTCTTTTCCTCCTGCCTCGCCCCAAGAGGAGCTGGAATCTGGAAATTCAGAAAGAATTCTGAGGAAAAATCTGGAAGTTTCCCTTTTCCTGCCTGGAAAAGCTCTCCTGGCTCCCAGAGCTGGGAAAGGGCTCCAGCTCCTCCCGCTGCTCCTGCCCGGGGTCATTTGTCAGGATTTCACATTTCTGGTGACAGAGCCGGGCACTACAGAGGGATTCCGAGCCCAGCATGGGGCCAAGCCTCAAAGGGCTCCTTCCCGGCAGGAAAATCCCCGGGAGATGGTGGGGGCACAAAAACCGGGATCAGGGGGATCCAGGAGGGGGGGGATCGAGGAGGGTCAGGAGTGGGATCAGGAGAACAAATCAGGGGTCAGGAGTGGGATCAGGGACACAAATCCCGCAGGGAGGAGGGTTGGGAGTGGGATCAGGGAGCTGAACCCAGCAGGAAGGGTCAGGATTGGGATCAGTGACACAAACCCGGCAGGGAGGAGGGTCAGGAAGGCACCAGGGACTCAAATCCATCAGGGACGAAGGTCGGGGTTGGGGTGAGGGACACAGACCCAGCAGGGATCGGGATCAGAGACACAAACCCAGCAGGGAAAATTGGGATTGGAATGAGGGACATGAACCCAGCAGGAAAGGTTGGGATTGGGGTTGGGATTGGGGTTGGGATTGGGGTTGGGATTGGGATTGGGGTTGGATTGGGGTTGGGATGAAGGACAGGCACGCACCAGCTGACACTGAAGGTCAGGATTGGGATTGGGATTGGGATTGGGATTGGGATTGGGATGGGATTGGGATTGGGATGGGATTGGGATTGGGATGGGATTGGGATGGGATTGGGATT